ATCTTAGGTATTGATTTGTTACCAACTCTTGCATTTAAATATCCACTAATTATTAAATTATCTCTATTATTAATTTGGGAAATAACTTTCTGCTGATTTTCATAAAAATTTCTATATAGTTAATGATTTCTGAAGAGTTACATAATTAATACTTTCAGCAAGAACATCTGTTGACTGAAAACAAAAGCTAGGAGAATAAGCGTAATGCTGGCGGTGATCATGTTCTGGCAATTCGTATGTTGTTTTAAGTAGGTAAACAATAAGAAGACCATCTATCAATGATACCAATATTTATTTACTCGTATATTTCACTATCTTTTTTCAGTATTTTTATCAAGTAATAAAAATTATAAGATGGTTACATTTTTTACCAAAACTATAGCTTACGGGTAGGAGAACTTGGACCAGCGAAATTTTTGCAAGTACAGTAAGAGACACAATAATTGAAACCTTTTAGCATACACTAATAAATTATTCGATATCTACTCAAGTAAATAAATATAATATAACTCAAGTAATATGTAGAACATCAGTAACAACGAAACTGTTTTATCAAAGAATTGGAGGCATTGCATGAGTACATGGGTCCAATACATGGATTTCATGGCTTCAGACGTTAACTGAGTTAAGGCAATGACCAATACCAGCACTTTGTTCAAACGAGTTCAACGGGTTTGCAGAGGTTATTGTGCGAGCTTCCCGGGCAATGGCCTGGATCAAAAACTCGACCTCTAGGCCCCTCCAACAAGGATGGGCGTGGAAAACCAACTCCCTCTCAAGGCCACATGGTCAACGAAACACGTAGTCTTTGGGATGATGCAAGAGCGAAATCATGTTCCTAATTTGTTTAGCTGTAAATGTACTTTTGATGTTGAGAAGGATAACAGCATATAAAAAATCTTTAAAATAATATACACAAACTTTCGCAACAAATTACATGCACTATTTACAATAACATGCGTTTTTGGAATTTGAGGTAAAATATTAATGGTACTTGCAATTTTAATGTTGACCTATCTCACAACGATAATTCTCGTTCAGTACTTATAAGCCTCACCTTGCTGTTAGAAACTAAAAAAAATGGAATCTTTGCTCACTGTTAATAAGAATAATTGATTCATCCCAAACTCCTTGTTACTTTACTTACACTAGTAGGGGAAATATTGGAATCGCCTCAACAACAAAATCTCGAATTTCCGCTCCTAAAATGCGTGTGAATCACATTACTGCCTGGCATCCGATCAATTGGACTGCACTTTATTAATTTTCCTTATTCCTTTATGGCTTCAATAATCAGAAAGGTGTACAACACTGTAAACCATAGATTGATGGTGACAATGCTGTCGGAACACCCGGTTATGGTGATGGCGATAGTAACGGAGCTGGAGACAGGCCAAGACGCGTGCATGGTTCACTTGCACAGACTGGGGGCCATCTCTGCCACCGCCATCGCAACTGCTCAAGAAGTATCTAAAGGGCAGATCTAAGCTTCACGTGACTTCTTGGCTGTCCGGGTGACGCCGCGACGTTGGCTGAGAGGCCGACATTTGGCCTGTCATATCGCAGGCTTCTTCAGGGTAGTACGTTTCACTTGTTTCTCTCCTCCCTGTTGCGTTGTATTGGAACTCCAATACTTTCAAAAATGTTAATACACATTGAGTTTTATTTTACAAGCAAAATGTCATAAGTGTGACAAGCGCGTATTTCATAAAAATCTTCGTAACGTAGAAATGTGTAATGCAGGTCTTTTAATCAGTGTATATGATTTTATGTTAGGCTTATGGATTAGCAGCTATAATCACTGAACAATTAAACTTGAAAGCGTAGAATATTTGATAGTAGATTTATCAAATAAATCAACTAGCAAATATTCTACGCTTATAACGATCTTATAAGGGGGTTGACAAATAAATCCAACTAATATTATTATGAATAGGAATAATAATTGTACTAATAATAACTTTTGGGTTACAAAGAGAATTTTAATCCATTATTGTTGCAACAAATTATATACAGAGAGTCCCACCAAATACGTGCCACCCCCATTACTTGAAAACGGTTCACGATATCTAAATGTTGTTTATACACAACAATGAGGAGTCATGGGTCAAGTAATATGGTGTAGAGATAGTTTCAAATATTTTTAGTATTCGAGAAATTTCATAATCTTCGATTTTTTTAATGAAACCTCTCTCCGCAAAAGTGACATCCGCCGCGAAGCACAGCTTCACCAAGGCGACAGCTGCAAGAGCCGCTTCAGGAAATATTCTACGTTTCATTGAAAATCAAAAGTCAGAAAAATAATTTTATAATCAAAATTCTATCTAAACATTAACATATGTTACATCATTGCACTGCTATTTTTATGATCTACAAGCAAAACCCAGCAGAAGTTGCCCCTCTCACCCTCCCTCCCTTCCTCTCTCAACCCTCGCTCTCCCTCTCTCTCTTTTTCGCTCTCCCTCTCCCTCCCTTACCTTCCATCTCCTTCCCTCTCCCTTCCTCTTTCTCCCTATCATCATCCATTTGTAAATATTAATGCATTCGTGAGTGGAAGTGCTTCAAATGAAATGCAATAAAGTTGTTCAAAAACTCAAAAGATTTCTATAAAAAAGAGTTTCAAATTTAGCGTGTCCAATAACGCATAAACGTAATTTTCTTCAAACATTTCACGGAAAATTTCCTTACAGGACAAGATTTTATTCTTCTATAATATTTATAAATTAATATTTCGGTTATATATATATATATACATGTATATATATGTATATATACATGTAAATATGTATATATGTATATATATTGTGACGTACCTGGAAGCGGTACTCTCACGACAGAATAAATTATACAAAGGACAGGTACATTTTCGTGAATGGGCTTCCAGGGGTTTGGCGCTGCATTGGAAGATGATCATAAGAAATTCTTTTGTGCATTTAAATATTTTAATAATAGAAACACTCTTTGCAAAGATTATTTACAAAACGCAATGCGCAAGGCCTTTGGTAATAAGTGCACAATCAACGCTACCTTGATGCTTTTAAGAACCACCTGCTGGCTGGAGACGAGCGGGGCCGCCGTGGCAACGGCGGCGGCGTCTTCGGCAACCTTCTGTCCGCCCCAAATCCGTCGGGAAATCGCTCTCCCTCGGCGATCAACTCCGCTGGCCCCCAACGCAACGGCCGATGGATTCGCCGGAGTCCACCCCCCAGCCGGTACAACAATGTCTCACAGTGAAATGAACCAAATGAAGAAATACATTCTGCGAAATTCCCGTCAATGGATGTTGGCACTATTCACAAACTACCTAATCCTACCTCTTCTATCAACAGGTGTAGGTTAAGCACTACTCAACACACATACGGAGCATTTTTATTAATGATTTTGCACCCATCAACGAGTGTAACACAACACAATACTCAAAACCGAATAATGCGTCCAAATTGGAATTTAAATTCGCCACTCTTGGGACAGCCAAATCTCTGACGGAGATTTCGCTTAGTGCGTGCGCTCCTCAAGCCGGAGACGACAGCCGTGGCAACGGCGCCGCGCCGGCGGCGGCGGTGGCGGCGGCAGTGGCAGGGAGCGCGGCCGCGCCCCGCGGCAACGCGTGAAGGCCGCCGCGGCCGCGACCTCGGCGCGCGCATAACGGCGTTCGTCGGCGCGAGTCAAGAGCGCGCGCACCTACCCTCCGCTCCGCCCCCGCCCCACCGCCCCGCCCCTGCTGCCCGCTTCCTGCCGCGACCGGGCCGAGAACCCCGCCCACCCGCAGCGGCGCGGGCGTGATTCAGGGCTGGGCGTTGCCCGCATTCGCCCCGCCTTCCTTCCTCCTCCCCCTCCTCGCCCCCAGCCGCGCTGCGGCACGGCGTCATCTGGCCTGTCACGTGCCGCCTTTGGTCCACCCTCCTACGTCTCTGCTCCCGCGTGTTCTTCACCCTTGTTTCCCGGGGCTTTTCACTCGTATTTCATAGAGTTGAGTTCTTCGATCGAGTGCCTTCCTCCGTGAACTTGACTTCATTTCCTCCGTGACCTTACTGTTTCTCAATGTTAATTTAGTTTGATCGCCTTTAAAATTAACTCTTCATACATCATTTCAATACGTTTCTTCCCTACTTCCTCTTTGTTTTATAATTCACGATCTGTACCCTTTGCTCATTATTCCATGATCCGTATACTTCTTCTCTTCTCTGGTGGAGGAAGCTTTTAGATCCTCTTAGATATGAATAGTTTCTAAGAGAGCCATTTCAACATTCTTGTGCACAAACTTTCAAGACTTCGCCCTAAATTTATAGTACAATCCCTTTCTCATTTGCATTATACATTTTCACAAATTATCCTCCCCATGAACACCCCGTTCTGTTTCGTCTTCAGGTAACATTTCTAACATTCTCAATCGCAGAAATTTCCATCCTGTCGATATCTCTTAGTAATGTCTTGCCCGCCCCTCCCCCTTTTTCGACTTCCTGCTCCTTTCCTCCCGCCGCACCCCGCTCCATTCCGCCCCGTTCTGCCCCGCCCAGCCACGCCCGCGGTGTGCTGGCGCACAAAGGAGGCGGTGAGCAAACAACGGTCACGGATTTCGACTGGCCTGCGCGTAAAAACGACCGGAACGTTTCTCCCTCCGGCCTTTCCGGTCCGCTGCAGTTTCGGAGTGAAGGCGAGGCCATGGCACATCCGGGAGAAGAACGTTCGACACCAAGACACTTTTTACGTGCCAGATTTGTAGGCTCATTCGGTGAGAGTTAATGAATAATAAGGGACACCAAGATGAAGTGCGACCGCGTGTTTAATTTCCTTTTTTGAAACGCAGTTAAAGCCTGTGTATTGGTTCCAGTTCGTGGAGACATTTCTGTTGATTACTTCTCGTATAAGTTCCGTCACTTTAGCATGTATTAAATTGTGTATAGCTTTATATACATTGGAAACGAAATAAATGTAAATACTTCCTTTTTTATATTCGAGTAGATTATTTCATAAGATATCAATTATGCAAAAGCTTAGGTCTATATCCCTAATATCCTTTCAGAATCAGCGGAAGGAAGAGATATTTCTCTCTAAAAAAGAATGCAATAAGAAATTTTCAGTAGAATAGAATCGACATGTATTATAACACATAATAATAAATTTTATAAACATTATTAATATATTTTTTATGCCTACTCTCACTATTTATCAAAAATAACCCCATAATAATAGGTAGTATCTTACACTCAAGGTGAAAACTATCTAACATAACATGATAAAGAAACATAAACTATCTAATCCTTCCTCTATTTTAAGTAAAATTCAAAGTATACGAGTATTACAAAGAAACAAATCTTTCAGATAGTAGTAACGTGTGCGAAACTCAAACATTTGCAGAAATTTATTTCAAGGGCTTCGAGACTGTGTCTGTCAAAGGAGCATCTAATCTCGAAAAGGGCCCGTATTACAATAGACATCAGGGCAATGACGCTCCAGAGTGGTTTTCGTGAAATATCACGAAATGTGATGCAATTTTGGGCACGTATTATTCGTAGATGCAACGCTTGCTCCTAGTTTTTATATCTATTTAAAAAAATGAAATGACCAAAACCTACGAGAATAATATTTGTCACATCAAATTTTGAAACAAGTCTCAACAATAACCTAAAGAGTGGGGAGTAGCATTTGCTAATACACTGGTGCAAAGGGAGCAACGGATCCTTCGTCGTTCGCCGATGTCCCTCGACGGAGGGCCGCGCTCGCGACGCGGGGTCAAGGCGAATGGCTCTAGAAGAGTCGATAACGGAGTGCAAACTCCTTGTGTTGATAATACACGAACAAATATAAAAGGAAGTTGCAGGTAAAACTCGTGAATAAGCATACGAATAGAAAGATACATTGCTTTTCATAAAAATCAGAGGTTACAAAATCTTTCTCTTAAATGATTTTTAGGTAATATTGAGAATACGCTGTCATTAATACAGCGTTCCGCACTTGATGCAGGAAGACACCTCTTTTAACTCATTAACTCTGTTAGCTCATATACATAGTTTGCTAATTGACGCGGCTACTGGCAATCGCACAGTAGCTCTCGAATCGAACTTGCAGACGGTAAGCAGCGAGTCACCATGCGTGAGGCCGGATGGGGCTGCATGGTATCTGTCACTGTTTATACACCTCCCTGAAGCTCTCAAGGAGGAAGCCCCAACGAGGTGGACGATACACGTGGTTCCCGCCAAACGAATGGTATTATATACGATTTTGAAATCTATAGATGTTCTCGTCCGTAGTTTGTAAGCAATTTTAGTACAAGAACATGTTTTGAGTTATATAGCCGTTGAAACACTGAGTTGGCGCAGCAAGCATAGGAAGCATAAAAAATCGCCTTTCGTGAACTATTTTCACGAAAATAGTGCTGAATTAGAAAATCAGTTAACGCTAGATAAAATTTAAAAAATTAATTCCCAACATTTTCTTTAAGAGAAAGTTCTACCAATTTGACAAGACGTGAGCTTTCGAAACTTCAACACTTTCCAAGGCCTAGCATTTCCAATCGCATTAAAAGGGGAGGCCGCATCTCCATTTTTTCGCGTATAGGCCAACTCGAACCACGCGTGCCTCCTGCATCACCAGATGCAAGTACCTTTCTGGGGAGGGATCATCATCATTTTAGCTAAACCCGGATTTTAATCGCCCATGGTGGTTAGCCCTGGAGGTATAGACGATGAGATAATGACAGTGGGGGATGAAATAACGGCACACGCATATAGACATACACACATTTCCGCGATGTAGGACTCGAACCCGCGGTCCGCTGGTCCGAGACTGCTACGGCATTAGTGTCCTAACGATCTCGGCCATCTTTATCCGCTCACAGCCGCCTTTCTAATAGCAAATTTGAATAAAATTGCGAACTCTGAGGTTTTAAAAAGCTCTCCGCTGAAAACTTAACGAATGTAATTTGTTCCAATTTCCCAGACACGATTAGGGGAATTGTGAAAGAAAAATTAAAACCCCCTTTTCAATGTTAACTTTCGATATCTCTCAAGAAAATAATGGAAAGCTTTTACAATCCAATCCTCGCGATAAATATTCTCTTTAAACGTTAGTAATAGTGTTGAACGAATCAGAGAAATGAATTTTCATTTCACGTTTCGTCGTTTCACCCACAAATGGCCATTTGTTCAAAATATTCAAAGTATAATGTAGTACGTCTTAGAAATCTACCATCGCGTGTTAAACTCAAGTAGATCAAATCAATATATATATATATATATATATATATATATATATATATATATATATATATATATATATAATCCGTCCGAATAAAATTTGAACGTCAGTAAATCCATGTCTAAGTTAAATGAATGAATTCGCCGAGGTAAACGTATTAATATTTCAATAAGGAACGTGCCTTTATTTAGGAACGGTATTCTTAGTTGTGAAATATAAAAGTATATTAATTACACTCTAATGGCCTGGATGATGTTCAGCACCACAGAAGGTGACGCAAAGTATGTGGTTAGTATTAAAAACCTTAAAAAATATCAGGTAGACAGTGAATGCCATGATTAATTTTACCATTCTTTTATTATTTTATTTCGTTGAACTCTATTTATATTAAAGTAATGTCGAAAGGTTTATCATTTTGAATAAATTGTATATCAATATGCCAGCTCTTTAGATCTCAATCCCTGAATTCAAATATCTAACACCATAACAAACTTTCAATTCGCTCATTAAATGTTATGAGAATAATAACAGTAAAACAAGATGAATTTCTCATATTGAAAAATTTGAAATACAAAATTCAACATTTGTGAAAAAACATTCAGAACGAACTTTCTATTTGGATGCTAGAGAAGATAATTGTGATATGCCGCCAAGAAAATTAGAAGGAAAATTCATAAAGAAGCCATGTTTGGAGTCTTAAGAAGTCGTCAATACATACTGTACACACACATTACTTATGTGTTCTGCAAACACCGTGCGCTGTTGTTGTGGTACTCCCGCACCTACTGTTTCCCACCAACAACGGCGCAGAACTTCCAGGCTTCCGTGCGCTCTGACACTCGGAACTACTTTTTTTCCTCTTAAGGGCATTCCTAGTTTCTCGATGTTTTTCTTTACTTCGAAACAAATTCCAGGTTTTCTATTTTTGTGTTTAAAAGTACGTTTTTAATAAATATTTAAACAAATACATCCTTTTTATAATACATCTTTCTGAAAAGTGAGGCATTTCATACAAAAATTCTTAGTATATCTATTCAAGAATTTGAATTATTCACGAGCGTCTACTTAAAAATATATTGGGCGAGTCTCTTCTAACTTTTAATGAATTTGGATAAAGCATATTGTTTTAGCTTTAAAAAAATACCAGACGTAAACTAATTTTGTTCGTGATAATCGATCACTCCCTTAACTATTATGTGGAGATCGATTCACAAATAATGCCACATATAATTCGATCAGTTATGTTGTTGTCAGTTACAAAAACTATCACAATTGTTTGTATATGTTATTGTATATTGAATATTTAAATAAATTAGTACAATTTTTTATAAAAAATGAATTAAGACAACATATGTCATGAATTTTTCGAAGTCCTTACACAAATAATTCCTAAACCTTGAATACGTTTCTAACGAAATATCCGTGGTGCTTCTGAAATCTCTAAACATAAATAGAAGCAAATCATTTATGGACGTGTTGAGATGAAGAAAATTAATATATTTACACGAGAACAAATAACAAGGCACCCTTCCTTCTACGACGACATGTGCATGAGGCAAGCTACACTCTGCTTGATCATCACGTCGTGAGTAGCTGTTGCTGGCTGGCTACGGCTCGTCGCCTCCCCGGAGGAAAAAAGAATAATGGCCCGGATGGTGGCTCGAAGGGCCATAATCGCACAATGGAGCCGCCGCCCTTGACGTTCAGCGCCCAATGCGGCCAGCGGAGAAAGCTCGACCACAATGCGTGGGTTGCGTCAGCGCTCCTCGGCGTTCGATTCCTCGCCTTCCTTCCGCCTCACCGGAGGGATGCGTCCGACGACTCGCCGGGAGGCCCTTTGCATTCGACACACGAGAAGGAACACGCGCTTATTTCACATTTTGATTCGGTATCCGCGAAACATCCTGATATTTTGAGAGATAAAGAAAAATCAGAGTTGTTATTCATTAGATTTAACACATCCCAACGTGACTAAAATCTGCTTAGAAATTTAGTTGAACGCCGCGATTCACTGTCCTCTGCCAATGTATTGTTAGATCTCCTCCTTAAGGTTTACGCGTTTCACCCTTTGCCCACACGCAATGAAGAGATCCCCGCAATAGTTATGCCACAACAGTATTAGCTGGGACTTCGAGGAGAAGAAAGAGAAGAAGGAGGAAAAGGAGAATAAAAAACAAAAGATAAGAATAAATTGATAAAAACTCAAGAAATAGAAAAAGAAGAAGTAAATGAAGGAGGGGTGAAAGGAACTATAATAAGGGGAGTAGATGTAGGGGATGAAGAAGGAGAATATGAAAGAGTACATTAAAGTGAAGATGAAGAAATTGAAGAAAAGTATGAAGGAGATGAAGAACAACAAAGACGGAAGTGTTAATTTAGCCGAATACTTCGTGTTATCCTAACTAAAGTAATGTGTTCTGCACATCATTAATAATAATATTTTACCCGAAATGACAGCTGCGTGGAACCGAATCCACAATATTAGATATTTGAAACTCCATCATTCCTATTCTAGATTAACAGTTTATCATCAGGAATACAAATAATGCGGATTTCATAGCAACACAGAGGAACGACGGGTTGCTATTAACTCAAAGCAGAAGCAGAGAAAAACTTAGAACACGCAGCGCTTTGACCGCGTAAAAATGAGTACTGGCTCTCCGCGTAAACGAGCGGTACAATTATTCCATGGTAAAAATTGTTGAATATTTGTCCCTGTAGCCCCCCATATGGAGTGCAGCTGTGCTGGAGCTACAGTCAAACCAGGCCGGGAGCACAGTAGAAGGTCAATACGGAGTGGGATGCCATTGCTGAAGACAAATGCCTGGCTCGCGAAGTCACGTGCCTGAACGCA